GGCCGGGTAGCAGGTAGATTGTGTCAGATGGGATGTTTGTGTAGCTCCGGTCTGTAGCAGCTACATATTCCTAGTGGAAACAGTCCTGTTCTATTATATTTCTGTGCGCCTCCTTTGGATCGGTGATATGAAATTTATATGTCATACGTATAATGAGAGATAACGGCAATTTTTTAAGGTTAGCTCTATGTTGAGCATAAGGAACTCCAGATCCTAAATTACGTGGGGGGGAAACTGTCACCATATCTCGGGGGGGAACTATCACACATAAAGAGACTTTCCGCTAACACTCGGCTTTCTAGGGATTAAGCCAGCGACTGACAGGGAACTAATAAGTGCAGCTTATTAACTTCGCAGAGATATTGTGCAGTATTACCAGATCATTTTAATTAACATTGGAAGCGCGCAATATGTAAGTAATGTTTCAGGATTGAAATCTCATTAAGCGGCTCGTCTGCTGTGTTACGGCAGGGCTTAAAGCGTGTTATGTCCCGGAGAAAACAAACACGGGAGTCTTTTATAGAACATAAAGGCTCTTGTCACATTTTACAACCCTTTAATTATGCATTAGGCGGAATAAAGCCGGGGGCCTGAAATCGATTGAGCACTGAATTTTAAAGCTGGAAATAAATGGGAAAATTCTGATTGGTCAGTTCAACCAGCTGCATGGTAATATTAGGGTTATTGTACTGAACCCAAGATATCTTTAATTGAGCTTTGTGTCAGGAACCGGATCTGAACCCAGGGCCTCTGCTGTAGCTGGTGGATGTTCTACCTGCTGAACCACCTTAGCACCTTGGATAGCTCCTTGCCTGATCTCCTATGTAATTCTCCATTAAACCTAATTTCAGCTGAACTCTGAACTCCTTGCTCCTCCCTTGAACTTTCTATTTAAGCCATGCCTCTGCACTTCCTGTTTGCCAGATTATTGTGCTTCCTGCTCCCTCTGTGCTATAATCTACTCATACTGCTACCCGTGTACCAACCTTTGGCTGCTGATTCACCGACTACTCTCACCGTCTCCTGCTACATACCTAATACCTTTGGCTCCTGACCTCGGCTTGTTCGCTGACTACGCTTCTGCCTGCTCCTCCACTACTACCCTCTGCTTGTGTACCAAACCAGGCATGTTATACTACGAATTGCCTGCTGCTTCAGCTACTGGACTCTGAGCCTGATCCCAGATCGTGACACTTTGTTTGGTTCCCAATTGGGTCCTTACTGCCATCAGCAGGGAAGGCATCCCTAACCCACAGCATGGCTTTAAATCTGCAAGCTTAGCCTTTCAAGCAAGCTGCTGTTGTCGCCAACTTAATTGATATCTTCATACATTTCTTTAGAGATTCTTCAACTAGGCCAGTGACAGAAGTAGCTCAGCTACCGAAAGAAAAGCCACACTTACCCTTCTATAGCCATCCTAGGGGTGGAGTGAGACCTCGCTGACAGGGTTCTAGGCAACACTAAGGAACCAATAGTTATTGAAGCTTGTATACTCAACCTTCAACTAAGAATTGGTTTAGGACTCTTTGAAAGGACTGGTGCATTTTTGTGCACCTGTCACCCAAAGGTCCTTCTTGTCTTCCTCAGTAGCTTAGCCTTAGTGTATGATAATACTTACCTTAGCACAGGTCATGCCCTGCTGTAGAGTACTGCAGGTCCCAACATTGCTCTTCCACTGCTCAAGAAGCTGCTATTCTGTAGTAAAGGTTTCTGTAGAGGGCCCGTTTACTTGAAGTAACCATCCAAATGCTGCCTACCAGAAATAAAACCTCCATATTGGAATTTTGGAAGAAGATAGTTGGAAGCCAAGGTATAGGGTGACAACCGAGGACCAGTGAGAAAACAGAGGATACTGGGGCACCAATGATGCAACCAATACTTCAGTGGAAGAGTGAACACTCGGACAAAAATAGATGGAGCTGCGAATTTCCTAGCCTGCAACTTTACATTGTGGCAGATTGGACTCTCATAGGTTAGAGTTGGGACCGCACCACACAGAGGGGCCTTGGCACGGCTGTGCGGCTATCACATATTCTGCAGAAGACGTGTATCTAAAACCTGTGTCTTTAACCTTAGTGGTAGACAAGTTGTTTTTGCATGGTGAGTGTGCTGGGAAACTTTTTGCTGTTGTACTGTATAAAGCCCTTCCATGTGCACCTTGCTTTAAAGCTGGTTATGAGTTGATGAGTGCGTCTGCCATTTGTTTTTCTTGACTGATTTGATGCGGTGACACACTGGGAGTCTCATCTGTTGTTGTGATGTGCGGGGTCCCTTGTGTGTCCCTGTGCCTTTAATCCCGTCATGACTGAGGCCTTTTTTCAATTTTTTTGCACCCATGTTATATTCCACATTTTAGGCCTGAAAATTACTTAAAAACCCCAAACACTATATATTTTCTGAAAGCCAAGACCCTATAGAATAAAGTGGTGGCAGTTGAACATTTTTATGTTGCACGATATTAGCGCAACTCCTTATCAAACGCCAAAATCTAGTGAAAAATTGACTTAAATGCCCCAAAACACAATACAATACCCATTTTTTTAAATACAATATAAAATATGAGGTTACAATGAGTAAATAGATACCCAACATGCCCTGGATAAAAATTGTGTGCGTCCATGAAACGGCAACAAACCTCAGTTCCCCCCAAAAAGTCCATAAACAACGCTTTAAAAGCCCCCACAGGCCATCAATTTAGAGATATCCAAAAATAGTGGCCCTAGAATTATTGCTCTCACTCCGGCATGCGCGGCGATACCAAACATGTGTAGCCCGTTCGTTGTTTTCATAAGTAGGCGCATCCGAGGCGTGTTTACGTGGCGACACTCGTGCTTGCGAGGGTGGGGGACTTTAAAAACATTTTTTTTAATATTTTTATATTTATTTCATATAATGTTAATTTTAAAAACTGTTGTTTTTTGTTTACTTTACTTTAATTGCTATCACATAGGGGGGCTTACAAGCCCCCCATGCGATAGCATATGGTGGTTATAGGTACTCTTTAAGGTGATGCTGGGGGTCCAAAAGACTAGTGTCACCTTTACACTCCAAATAAGCTACTGAAGTGCAGATCACGGGCTTCAGGAGCCCAGTACTGACAGCTATGGGACCAGAAAGTGTTGCAATCTGCATCGCTCCCGGTCCCATATAACGGGGAGGTGATCAACGAACGGAGGTTCGTCCATCTCCTGCCCAGCTTCCCGCTGACACAAGAGAAGTCGGTCCCGGACCCTTAGGAGGGGCAACAGAGCCCGGGAAGCACGGCGGGGGGGTTGGGCGGGGGGGGGGGACCCCTTCACCGGGCAATAGAAGCAATCTGGCAACAGCTGAGTCGCCAGAATCACTTCTATTGTTAAAGCCGCCCGGAGTCTGTTTAAACAGCCCCGATGCTAGCGACGTACACTGTAGGTTGTTAGTCACGAAGGGGTTAAGGAGGTTGGGCTGCCTCCTGGCGATCCTGCACCCAGTTTTATATTTTGCTACATGTGCTCTAAGATGGAGACTCTCATAGTTTAGAGTTAGGACCGCACTATATAGAGGTGCCTTGGCGCGGCTGTGCGGCTTTCACATATTCTGCAGAAGACGTGTATCTAAACCTCTGTTTTTAACCTTAGTGGTTAGACAGGTTGTTTTTTGCATGCTAGCTGGTGAGTGTGCTGGGAAACATTTTGCAGTTGGATTTGATGGTGTTCCCAGATTTCCAGGATCCTAATCAATGCATATATGAGCATAGCACTGAACAGCGAAGCCAAGACGAAAACCGAAATGCATGAGTAGGCATATTTATGAGTTCTTCAGAACTCTCTTCTAACAGATTGTGCTTCTATCTTCCCTCAGGTTCAAACCATGATTGTCAGCAAGAAGGACCAGTGATTACTCCTTCTGATTTCCGCTTACAAGGACCCACCTCTGCCCCTCCCTTGAAGTTAATTCCGTTTTCTGGAAAATTTGCTCGTATGATGATACATGGCGGAAAATATAGGACAATATACAAAAAGTCTTGAACTTTTTTTTTTTTGTGTGCATGTATTATTTATTGAATTCTCAAAGCATACACAATAAGAACAATCCTAGTAGTACAATAGAGGTACATACAGATCAATTATGCATGAGAACAAGGTCGGAGTACTAGATTGTTCAAGGGAAATCAAAAGAGAGTACCAACTCTGTCAGCAGTATGTACCAATTTAAACAAACAACATAATAACAAAATAATAAAAGTGATTGTCAATCCATAAAAGAAAAGAGATATTGCTTTACCCTCACTAGCGATTGTACCTGTAGTCGGAGTTTACCATGGCTGGGCAGGACAATTCGAATGTCAAGGGGGACATTGCAGGCACACAGAAATAGATAGAGATAGAGGGCGTATTAGGCAGGGATTTATGCTACTGGTTCTCCAATTAGGAGAAGTTCAGCCCTTGCGGGGCTGTAGAACGTCCACATCACCCAGGGAGCCTGTGAGTTTGGCCTACCACGAGGAATCTTGGAAGCATGACATTACATCATGGAGCTGACTTGGGGAGAGGGCCGCAGAAAGGAAGTAGGACCATGTGGGGAAAAAAACGTGCTATGCGCCTTTCATCATTATGGGTGTCTGCTTTGTCTAGGAGCATAAGCTTGTCAAGAGTGGCTATTAAGTCCTCTATAGTAGGGACCGTTGGTAGTAGCCAATTAGGGAGAATTATCTTTTTTGAGGTCAATATACAAAGATATTCCCATCGGGAAATGGGGAGGGCAGGGGGTAGAGGCCCATGGGGTATATCATGTAACAGGCAGAGTGTAGGTTGGGGGTCCCATGTTTTGCCTGATTGGGAGTTCATGTAATTCACAACCTGTTGCCAAAGAATACTTATCTGTGGGCATGACCAGATAAGGTGTATGACATCAGGATGGTGTATGTTACATTTGGGACAGTGTTGCAGCCAGTCAGGTAATGGGGAGGCAGGAGTGAAGTTAAAGGCGTAATAGGCCCGATGGAACAGCTTAAATTGGAGTTCACGCCATGACTCACTGATGATATGCTTCCTGATTTGTTGCCACCCCCGTAAGATGCATTCATAAGTGTGGATGTGAATATCGGGTGTGTAAGAAGTGTGAAATCTGTGTATATTGTAGGAAATGAGTGGCAGGAACAGTAAATTTGGAGATTCGTTCATCGAATTTCAGGCAGGTGCCTTGGGGTGAGAGCATGTCTTGTATCGTATTGATACCTAGAGTATTCCATCTCCGAGTTGGCTCCTACAGGGAAAGCTGGAGATGAGGTTATGGGCATCCATCGGGAAATAGTACCAGGTAAGTGCATCAGTTTCCTAACTTCTCTCCACATTGTGACAGTGTCTTTTATGAGGACGTGGGATTTGATATGAGGGGGTAAGGGGTGTAGGGGAGAATGTAAAGTGCCCGTGAGGGACCACGAGTGAGTCAATTGTTGTTCCAGGAGAGTGTTGGAGTAGAAATAGGTATCAAGTATCCAGTCCCTTATGTGTCTGAAGATGCTAGCTAAATTGTGCAATCTGATATTCGGCACATTCATACCCAAGTGAAGTTTTGGTCGCTGCATTTTCGAGTGGGCGATTCGCGTTTTTTTACCCTACAATACTAAATTTGGAAAAAGTTGAGGAGCTGTATATCTGTGTGTTTAAGTAGTATGGGCAGGATGTGTAGAAGGTAGAGTAAGCGGGGGAAGCTAACCATGCAAATTAAATGGCAACTGTAAAAAAATGTCACTTGGCTGCAATAAAAATTCGTCCACAAACGAAAATTCGTACAGACTACCGCTAACAAATTTCGTCCGAAATTTTTGTTTTCGGAAATTTGGATTCGTTTTCATTCGTCATTTCTGTCATTCGGAGATACGGATACATCTGAGTCTCCCGAATAACGAAAATTTGTCTGAATGGCTAATCTTTCCGAAACTAATAGCACTTGTCTAAGAACGAATGCAGCCACCACACCAAAGGACAGGTAAGATGCAACGTATTACATTTTTGATATGCTTTAAAAAGTTGTAAAGCTTTAACAGACACACTATATTGACAAACATATTGGGACACCCCTCCAAATCATTGGATTTAGATGTTCCATGAAATTTCCTTGCTACTAAATATTCCACGGTCACCTGTTAGGTTTGGTGAAGGGGGGATTATGGGGGGGGGTTGTTTTTCAGAGGTTGGGCTTGGCCCCTTAGTTCCAGTGAAGGGAACTCTTATGGCATCAGCACACCAAGACATTTTGGACAATTTTATGCTCCCAACTTTGTGGGAGGAGTTTGGGGATGGCCCCTCCCTGTCCCAACATGACTGCGCCCCAGTGCACAAAGCTAGGTCCATAAAGACATGGATGGGGGGAGTTTGGGGTGGAGGGACTTGACTGGCCTGCACAGAGTCCTGACCTCAACCCGATAGAACACCTTTGGGATTAATTAGAGCGGAGACTGCGAGCCCGGCCTTCTCCTCCAACATCAGTACCTGACCTCACAAATGGTCCAACATTCCCATAGACACACTCCTAAACCTTGTGGACGCCTTCCCAGAAGAGTTGAACCTGTTATATCGGCAAAGGGCGGAGCCAACCCAATACTGAACCCTACGGACTAAGACTGGGATGCCATTTAAGTTCATGTGCCCGTAAAGGCGTCCCAATACTTTTGGCAATATAGTGTACATGTCCTCCCACCAGTTCTAACCATCTTTACACTCTTGAAAAGCTGCAGAGGCTGAAAATCTTCAGCATTCGACATTTACTATAGTGATGGATGCCTGGTTCATCTCTGTGCTCTGGTTAAAAAAATGACTGTAACGAGTCCTCTATATGTTCGTTTTGGCTGATATAGAACAAAACAAAAAAAACAGCCTATTGAGAATGTGACTTGTTAGTTTTTGTATGACTTAGTCTTCCTGTGTCAGGATTGAGTGGTTGTCTACCACCTGCTCTGTCCTCCTTACCTCTGTAATCATGTCTGATACATATTAATAAGGCCGAGGCTGATTATCTCCTTGTGCTGTTCCCATCGCTGATGTCACTCATACAGGGTGTTTAATCATGTAATCATGCGTTCCGGCTCACTATGCAAACGAGATCAGTGATTGTGCCGTGTCAGGGCTGCCGGCTTGTTAGCACAGAAATGTATACAGGGGAATGCGCAATTACTGAACTGAGATATTCTTGTGAGGCACACAATGCTTTCACAAGCT